CTCCCCTTGTTGGTGCACTGAAGTCCAGTCGGGAGCCTGGAGATAGGAACTTTCTGCTCTGGCAAGGCATAACCCCACTATGTCCTAGCCCGGTTCTCTCACTTTTGCTTGGGCCATGCTTGTGTCTGGTTCTATAATCCTTCTTGGAGGGAGGATGAGATCTTCCTTTGCCTCCACACTTGACTGATGCCCCGTAGGGCTCCCAGGCTGGTCCACCCAGATGTCAAGTCTTCAACTGCCATTGTGCACCCCAAATTCCCTCCAAAGACCCAGCACAGAAGAAGTCCCATGTCACAGGTGAATCAAGACAGAAACCCATTTCTCTTTCTCATTGTCAGTCACCACACTGTGTGATTTGGCGCCCTGCAAGCCTCCAGTTGTGCCCTCCCTCCCATCCCAGATCTATGGCTGCCACTTGGGTCCTGCCTCTCTTTCTCCCAATGCCTCATTGTAGCTGTGTGATGGTCCTAAAACACACCCTCCTGGGCTGGAGCGATAGTACAGCGGGTAGGGTGTTTGCCTTGCACACAGCCGACCTAGGTTCAATTCCCAGCATTCTATATGGTCCCCCGAGCACCACCAAGAGTATTTCCTGAGTGCAGAGCGAGGAGCAACCCCTGTGCATCAACGGGTGTGACCAAAAAAGAAAAAAAAATATACCCCCCCTGCTTAAAACTTCCAGTGATGGCCTGTGGCCTAGGAGATGGTCCTTAACCCCAAGGAAACCCACTGGGACCTCCCTCACCTCTCTTCCATGGGATGGTTTTATCCTTCTCTTAGAAGGTGGCCATGGTCGAAAACACTGCCTAGGCCTGGAGCATATCTGCAGAATCATGGACTACCTCTCCGGACACTACACTGAGCCTATGTGCACCCCGTTCCCACACACCCCATTTCTTTTTCTTTTTCTGTACCTCCACTAGCCGCCGCCACACTCCAGGATGCTATCCGGACCTGCATGGCAGCTCCGGCCGAGACTCATGCACGACTGAAGACCCACAAAATAAGATAAGCGGAACTTTCTGAGACCTTGGACTCCAGGCTCGGCGGACCCAGGGACAGAGATTCTCTGCTTGCTCCCACCAACCACAGGTGACAAAGGGATTCTAATCAGGAGCCCCACCCTACCCTGCCCTGTCTGCTTCCACCAACCACCCAGAGATCGAATTGCGCACAGAAGACCAACCCTACCCCTACCGGGACCAGATAAATACCCCACTGGCAGACACTACGGACACTACCTCCACTACCCAGCCGCAGCCACACTCCAGGATGCTTTCCGGACACATCATAAGACATCATAAGACACTAAATACCCATCCTCCGGAATTGTCGTACCATATTTGATAGGGTTCAAATATGGTAACACCTACGAGGGCTATTAGAGGTCGCCCCCAAATCCTCTATCCCTCTCGGAAAGACTGGCAAGCTACCGAGAGTATTCCGCCCGCACGGAAGAGCCTGGCAAGCTATCCGTTGTGTATTCGATATGCCAAAACCAGTAACTACAACTGGTCTCATTCACCTGACCCTGAAGGCTTCACCGACATGGTAGCACTGAGAAGGATGAGAAAGGAGAGGCCGACGAAATCTCAAGGCCGACCTAGGCTGCCACAACGAAGGAAGACAAACATGATTGTCTGTACTTTCAATGCACGTATGCATTGAAAGCATCAGATGCATCCATCGAGGACCTGATGGTAAAAGCGCGAATGATCAAGTACGACATCATTGGTCTGTCGGAGAGAAGAAGGCACGAATCTCACCATGCCGTTTTTGACACTGGAGAAGAATTGTTCCTCGGAACATGCGATAAAAGAGGTGTTGGAGGCGTCGGTGTCCTTGTCAACACAAACTTGGCCAAGAGCATTGATTCATTCGAATGCCTAACAACCCGATTCGGATGTTTACATTTGAATAGATGTGGCTCACTGCCGGCAGTTTCTATCTTCGTTGTCTACTCACCAACATATCATTATGATGAAAGAGAAATGGAGAAGTTCTACATGGAGCTGGAGAAGTTCTACAAAGAAGACCACACCTTCTACAAGATCGTTGTGAGTGATTTTAATGCCAAGATAGGACCGAGAAGATCAGCTGAAGAACTTCACATCGGGACCCATGGCCTAGAATGGAACGAACAGGGTGAGAGACTGTCTGAGTTCATCATGTTGACCAAGACCATCCATGGTAACTCACAGTTCCAGAAGGCCGAATCTAAACGTTGGACATGGGAGTCTCCCGGTGGACGATTCCACAACAAAATAGACCACATCATATTCAATCGACGGTTTTGCCTGACCGATGTCGCTGTTGTCCCAAAATTCCGAACGGGATCGGACCGCCGTCTCCTTCGTGCAAAATTCTACTTCACAGAGCGGGGAGAAAGGGCTGCAAAGTTTAAAAAGAGAACTCCCAGAACGACCACCAACTGGGAACTCTTTGGCACTATTGCGGCAACATGGGAAGATGCCATTGTTGACAACATTGACGAGGAATACAATCGACTGGTTCAGCACCTCCATGAATGCGCGAGGAACGCCAAGAGAGAGATAGCCACAAAAAAAGCCTCTCTTAGAAAACTCTTGAGCTTATTCACCAGCGTGATTTGGCGCTTGTCTCAGGCAACCGCAAGCTAACGCCCGAGCTTGCAAAGCAGTGCAGAGATGCGATCAAGGAAGACCTCAAAGAGAGAAGAGTAGAAGTACGGGTAGATGCGGCAGAAGCTGGGAAAAGTATTCGTAACGCCCGCCTGTCCTTTGCCAACTACAAGACCAAGATGACTGCCCTCCGACGTTCTGATGGATCCATCACATCCTCCAGAATGGCAATGGAGAAGATTATCCATGACTTCTACTCAAATCTCTTCGATAGCCATGTCCACTTGCCAGCATACCAAATTCCATAGGATGGATATGTCGTTCCCAGTGTTCTCCCTTCCGAAATCCGACACGCCATTTTGTCAGTAAAGAAACAAACAGCACCCGGCCCAGACAAGGTCAGACCTGAACACCTGAAGAACCTGCCGTCAGTACTCATAAATACACTGGCTTGGCTCTTCACATGCTACCTGTCTGAATGCAAGGTTCCATCCCAATGGAAAACCAGCAGGACCGTACTACTGTTCAAGAAGGGAGATATCCATGACATTGGCAACTATCGCCCGATCTGCCTATTGTCTGTCATCTACAAGTTGTTCACTTGAGTCATCCTAAGTAGGATTGGCAGAACACTAGATGAAGGACTACCATGCAAGCAAGCCGGGTTCCACAAAGGATTCAGCACCATCAACCATATCCACACGATAACCAAACTCATTGAGGTTTCTCGGGAGTTCAAGATGCCGCTCTGTTTAACGTACATTGATTTAAAGAAGGCCTTTGATTCTGTTGAGATGGAAGCGGTCATTGAAGCCCTAACCAATCAGGGCATTCAAGCCCAATACATCAGGATCCTCCGTGAGCTGTATTGCGGATTCACTACCAGGATCTCACCATTCTACAAAGAAGTAATCATTGATGTCAAGAGAGGGGTTCGGCAGGGTGATACCATTTCACCGAAACTCTTCAGTGCCACCCTTGAGAACATCATGCGACGACTAGAATGGGAAGGAATGGGAGTGAAGATAGATGGTCGGCAATTACACCACCTCCGCTTTGCTGATGACATTGTTTTAATAACACCAAACATCAGCCAAGCAGCACAAATGCTGGCCGACTTTGACCGTGAGTGTGGAAAGGTAGGACTACAGCTGAATCTTACGAAGACAATGTTTATGAGAAACAGCCTTGTTCCTGACGCCCCATTCGCTCTCAATGGAATGACCATCTCCGAATGCAACAGCTATGTGTACCTAGGTCGAGAAGTCAACATGACAAATGACCTGGCACCCGAGCTGCGCAGGAGGAAGAGAGTGGCTTGGAACGCCTTCAAGAACGTGGAAGAAATAGCTAAGAGGACGAAGAACCTCCGGCTCCGGGCACATCTCTTTGATTCCACTGTTCTTCCTGCATTAACATATGCCTTAGAGACTTGGGCCCTTCGCAAACAGGATGAGAACGCTATTCGGGTCTCCCAAAGAGGATTTGAAAGAGCTATGCTTGGAATATCACGTTTCACTCAAATGAGAGAAGGAATCTGGAGTTCCGACCTCCATTGATCATCAAGAATCAGGGACGCTGTCTCATTTGCCAAGGTGTCAAAAATCAGATGGGCTGGTCATGTAATGAGATTTAAAGACGACCGCTGGACTAGAGCTGTTACCGACTCGATTCCATGGGATGTCAAAAGACCGCATGGCTGCTCACCTACCAGATGGTCAGACTTCTTTATCAAGATCATGAACGATCGGTTTGAGGCTCTTCATGTTCCCAGAGTGAACAGATGCCATTGGTCTACACTAGCAGGTGACAAGGACAAATGGAGACATTACTGGCGCCCCCTCGAGCAAATCGACGACTAATGGGAAGTTAAGTGATTAAGTGATTAATGAAGTTTTTATTTTTTTGCTTTTCGGCTCATACCTGACAATGCACAGGGGTTACTCCTGCTCATGCACTCAGGAATTACTCCTGGTGGTGCTCAGGGGACCATACAGGATGCTGGGAATAGAACCCAGTTTGGCCACGTGCAAGGCAAATGCCCTACCCGCTGTGCTATCGCTCCAGTCCCACCCATTTCTTTTTCTAATTTTTAAATTTTATTTTATTTTTATAAAGTGGTTCACATTATTTTATTACATTTATTTATTTTTTTATTGAATCATCGTGAGATACAGTTACAAAACTTTCATGTTTGAGTTTCAGTCATAGAATGATCAAACACTCAACCCTCTAACAGTGCACATTTTCTACCACCAATGTCCCTGGTATTTCCCTCTCCCATCCTACAGCTCCGAGGAGCCATTGTATTTCACCCAGGAGCCATGAAGCCCTTGTAAAAGAGATTCCTATCATGTTGTTAAAGATTGAGCCTTGTGTGATTATATATATATATATATATATATATATATATGTAAAAATATATTTCTAAGATTGGTTCCCTTCGACTTTTAACTCCATCAAATGTCGTATGCTTTTCTTGGAATATGAATGGCGTGAGGTATGAGATGTCATATTTGTGGCTGTGCGGTTGAGGAATAGGTGAGGCTTGGCCTGAGCGTGTGGAGAATGGCTGTGAGTATGGAAAGTGGTTAAGTTCTGGAGGTTTTTGGCTGCTCGGGCTGGGTCCCTTGGGGGAAGGGAGGGGCCTCACACATCCCCACTCTGGGTTGCCCAAATGAAACCGCCTGCTGCAGGGTCTCGTTTTGTGCTCTCTTCCAAGAAATTTATAATGAGTCTCTGGATCATGGCTATTGATGAGATTATATGGCACCAGCCAGACGTGGCTTGTGGGAGTGACTGCCAAGCTGCCCGAAACAGGGGGAGGTGGGGGCAAGTCACCCATGTGTGGTTCTGTTGAACCTGGACTTGTCAGTCATACCTGGGTTTGATTTCCACATACCTGGGTTTCCTGCAGATTCTCTCATGGGTGAGGTTCAACCTGAGCATGTGGAAAGCGACTGCTGCACACCCCATTTCTATAGGCCCCCTCCCCTCTCCCTGGGAACCTTGAAGGACTTATCTGACATTCCCGGTTGAGGATGGACCCTCCCTCTCATTAGACCAAGAGCAGTGAGGTGAATAAAACCAAGAACAGACAGATGAGATTAATTCGGGCAACATAGGAGGATTGCACGGAGCAGGTGGCCTTGGTATGAAAACTCAAAATCACTTGGGGTCCAGGATTTGGGGCGCTTAAACGTAATCCTGAGTACATATGTTTTGATGCAGTTATGAAGGCAGTTGTACAGACCTATGAGCACCATTTCCAGCAACAGTGTTTTAGAGGTTACATGGGCTTCCTAAGACTCACCCCAGAATGAGTCCTTTACCCATCACCCCCATCGAAGCATGGCCCCTCAAACTGCTCATATCTGATTTATATTAACAAAGGAAGACTCCCCTTCCTCCCCTTCCCCCCACACTTCAAATGTTATTGACATAAAAAACTGAGAGCAAAACGGGCAACATCCCCGATGCAAGGAGAGACTTGAGAGGGAAATTATTTAAGAAGAAATTTCAGCGACCCAAACCGGGATAGGGATTCTGAACCAAGAGGCAGATTGCAGAGACGGTCAGGAAATGCTCAGTGTCTATGCGTGACACCATAGTAAATTAAAATGGCCAGAAAGATCAAAATGCAGGTAATCAGAAAAGCAGAAATTCCAGAAGCCACCCAGGCCGAGCTTCCGCACAGTCTGTCCCCCTGGGAGCGCCCCGGGGCCGCGGCCACCGCCCGCCGCTGCTTCTCCACCTCGCGCCGCACCAAGCCCAGGTAGCGCGCGTGCTGCTCTGCCCACTCTATCCCCGTGCTCCGCTGCTGCACCAGCAGCTGCGCCTCCCGGGACAGCTCTGAGCTCAGGAAACCGCCCTGCAGCTCCCTCTCCAGGCTCTGCACCTGGCCCATGAGCTCGGCCAGCTGCCGGCGCTGCTCGGCGCCCGTGGCCCGGTTGTTGAAGCCGCAGAACCTCCTCCCGCACTCCTGCAGGAGTCCGTGCAGCCCCGTGTCCTTCACGCTGGCCAGGTACCCAGCCAGGGGTTCGCCCTGCAGGTCCTCCTTGTGGGTGAAGAGGACGATCACGTGTCTCATGGCCTGTGGTCCAAAGACCTCCTTCACCCTCCTGGCGGCCACCGCGTCATGGGTGGTGAAGCGGCCCAGCTGAGTGACCAGCAGCAGCACGTGGGGCCCAGGGACAGAGAGCAGGTAGCAGTCCCCGATGTCCTTGTACAGGTCTTGGGTGGGGGGCACAGCGTCGAAGATGGGGGCTGTGTCCACCACCAGGATGCTCCTCCCTTCCCAAGTGCCCCTGGCCTCCTGGCACTGCCTGGTCACACACTGGGCACCCACGTGCGACTCGAACACTGGCCGGCAGAGGATGCTGTTCCCGGTGGCGCTTTTCCCGCTGCCTGATTTGCCCACCAGGACGATCCTCAAGGAGGACGAAGCATCAAAGCCGGCACCTGCTCTGCTGCCTGAGGAGACAGTTTGCACCCAGCTATGTCCGAGCTCTTTAAGTTTAGGTCACTGGCTTCCAGGCAAGCTATCCCGCTCCCTCCCCAGAGATGGACACGCACAAGTGATTTGTGAGCCGAGTTAAGAAGGGGGGGGGGTGCCAGAGCCAAGAGTGGAAGGGCTGCCCAGTGGGGAGGGCTGGGGACATCTCATCAGGAGAAGCCACAAGGCGGGAGACAGCAGTGCCACTGCCTGCACCCACAGACTCCTGGGCATGAAGGTGCCCCACATATTCACCAGCCCCGGGGTGGGGGTGACTCAGGTGTAGGGGTTCTATGCCTGCACCAGGCTCAGCCGAGTGCCCCTGGTGGGTGACGGGGAGCTGGATGCTTGGGATTGGGAGGCAGAAGGTGAGGGAGGATGACCTGGCTGGGCTGGGGAACACCAAGGCTGTCAGAAGTGCAGGTGGGAAGGACCCAGTTGGCTGTGGGAGGAGAGAAATTCTACCAAAAGCTGAGCCAGAGGGTGACCCCAGCCCAGCACAGAGTCTGCCCTCAGGGGTCTCTCAGGGGTCTCTGAGGCTCCTCTGAGGAAGGGCCTCAGCCCCTTCAGGCTCCCACAGCCAGCTGGTGCTTCAGCCCTTCGCTCTGTGCTGGTTCTTTGTTCTTCATGATTGTGGGTTTGTAGCATGAGATACGGCTACTAAATGCCCAGGGAAATGCACCCTCTTTACAGCCGAGCACAGGAAAGAAGGTTCTTTTGCACAACTGGGCTCCAACCAAATCCTTGGGCCTCTGACCTCAAGTTTTGTTCCCACATTGCCCAGCTATTGTGAGAGCGACCATAAGGAGGGAGGGGGCCTGTTTCCTTCTTCCGGTTAGATAAGTGGGTTCTGTCACTGGGCTTGAGTGAGAAAAATGTGGAGGAAATAGTGGGTCTCTCTGGGGCCTGGAGCTCCTGACAACCAGAGGTTTCCTTACCTTCATTCATAGTTCCATATTCGCTGCCATGAAACGCTTCCATTCTCTTCTGGAATAAAAACAAAAGGAAAGGAACAGAAAGCATTCATCCAGGGGGGCTGGCAGGCCTGAGGACACCTCTTGTCAGACACCCAAGAGAAGTCTACTTAGAGGACTGGATTTTCTACTCAGATTGTACTTTCGAACTAATGGCTATAAATGACTTTCTGTAAGCTGAGTGAAGCCAGGTAACACTAAGAGGAGTGATCATTTTTCCCCCTCACCATTTTTCAGGAAAGAGGAAAATACTTTGCAACAAATCTGTCGATAACATTTTCCAGTTTAATTTATTTTTAATGATATACAGATATCATCCAGTTAAAATCTGCAGTTGGACTTTGTTTCTTTTGTTTTAAAGATCATGCAGTTCTGTACGTAGGTACAAGCATTTTGAAGTGGAGAGATGCAGAGTAAAGGATAAAGACCTACCATTTGCCATGAACAAGCATTTTCTGTTATTTTTGGTTTTGCTATTGGGCCACAAGGGCCGTATGCGGTGACCCCACCTTTCCGCTCTGATACCCTGAGACTCCATTTCCCCCTCCTGGGGCGGGGTGCATATCAGGATTGGGGGTACAGGAAAGTTAGGGGGAAATGGAGGAGACCCCAACACTCCAAGGACACCATCGGGCACTCTCTAGGTTCTCAGCCTCGCCCTAGGCAGCTCCTGCGGATCACAGGGGCTAAGAGGTGGGGGGCCTGCCAGAAGGGAGGGCCGGGGTGCAGGGACCCATAAAAGCCTGTCCAGCCCCTAAGAACCGTCTCTGGCCCCCAAGCTCACGGTCGTCGCCAGAGACTGGACCCTGGAGACCCCACCGGGGCGCGCCCGGAACCACGCGATGCTGGAGCGGGTGGGGAGCTCGCGGACCCGCAGTCTGGGACCCCCCTGCGCGTCCTCTTACCGGGCGCGGCGCTGGGACTCCAGCTCCAGCTCCGGGGCTGCGCGGTGGGACAGAGGGACGCGCCGGGGGTCGGGGTGTCCGGGCGGCGGGGGTCGTCGGGGGCCGCGGGGGGTCGCGCGCAGGCTTTGAAGCAGGAACCCCGAGCAGCTGCAGCAAGGATCAAGGATTCCCGAGCGCTCCCGAGAACCGCGGCGGGAGGCGGGGAAGAGCCGCCAGCAGGTCCCGGGACTGTGCGCCTGGGGCGGAACCTGAGCCCCGAACTTCCTGCCGAGCTTGGGGGCGCCGCTGCCTCCACTCGCTGTTCCATGACGTGCTAAATAAACCGATTTTTTGGGAAGGCTGTGAAGGCAGTGACAGAGTCCCCGACTCCTAGGCTCAGAAACGCCCCCAAGACACAGGAAAGGTCTGCTGGACTCATGCGTCTAGAATGTTCCTGCTCCCAGGACGCAGAGAAGCGAGGGGAGCGGAGGGCGGTGGTGGTGGTGGGGGGTGGCACAGGGGCCCCGAGCAGCTCTGAGCCCCGCGCGAGCCCCTTCCCTGAAGCAGGACCCGCCCCAGAGGGACGCTGGCCTGGGTAATGTGTCCCTGGGAGCAAGGATGGGACATCTGTTGTTAGTCCACCGTCGGGACGTCCAAGACAGAGCAGGAACTTTGCACAAGTCCTTTGCCAAAAAACGAAACAAAAATCCCCCAACCGAGAACAAGCAACTTCTTGGCAAAGTGGGACGGAGAACATGGGCAGATCTTGCGGGTCCTGGACCGGGCAGTCGCAGGTCCTGAACCTCAGGCAACTTTAAAGCACTAAAGTGCAGATGAAGACAAGTAGGGGCGGGGCGGGGGTCTCGTCAGTATTTTTTCCTGTCATGGAGAAGTATGATTTTTTCCCCCTCCGGGTTCTAGTCATCCTTATACTCTTTAATTCTTTGAGATTTTCCGATTTATTAGCATTCATGATTCTGGTGTGAAGAGTCGATTGGGGCAGGCAGGGGAGTGGGGAGGAAACACAGTGCGGTGTCTGATGAGGTTGGTCTGCTGCTGGTCAGACTAACCCGCTCCTAGGCGCCCCCCAGAACCCACACGCACCTCTTAAGAGCTTGACTGGCTGGGCCCAGCCGCAGCTTCTTAGAAACAAGCACCCATTGCTCACTGACCTCACCAATGCAGCAAACCTAGATGGTTTCTTTTTCTGAACATTCTTAAGTTCCTTCCCTTCTCCCTCAGAAGGTGTCTGAAAGCCTTATGTCTATGTATGCATATGGATATGTCCTTTGTATTATGTCTATGAATTTATATTCTTTTTATTTATTTATTTATGAATTTATATTTTGCATAAACGAAGTGGCATGTTGTTCAGTCTGGAAGATGGCCATTTGCCAGAACGAGATGAACGTGGAAGTCATTGTGCTAAGTTCAATGAGGCTGACACAGGAAGACAAACACTGTGAGATCTCAATTACATGTGCAAACTAATGAAGTGAGCAGAGAGAAGCAGTTTCAGGTGGTGGGTCCCCAGGGACTCCGAGGGGCGCGTGGAAGATGTTGTTTTGAGGACACAGACTTGCAGTTGTAAGGATGGTGCACTGGAGAGCTTGAACATACAGCATGGGGTGATGTTGCCTAAAACTGCTCTGAACACCAGGAATTAGCTTGGAGAGCAGATTCCAGAAACTGTCACCTTATTTACACAAATGTAACTATGAGGTCAGCTGTTAATTAGTTTCATCATAGTAATAATTCATCATGTATGTTTTCAAATTTTTGTGCTTTGCACCTTAACCATACTCACGTTTGATTGAAAAAATCAGATAGGCAAAGTCTTAAGAGGAGAAAAGCTTGGAGTGGCTCGATTCCAAGGAGAAAGGCCTGAAATGTTCAGGGCTTGAATGTGTGGTGGGAGTGAGAGGAAATGGACTATTTGGAAATGTGAGAGGAAATGTGCTATTTTTCAAGATGGAAACAGAGTGTTAGTGTGCAGGGCGGTCGGTGCAGAGAAGCTTACCTAGAGCTGTCTGGGTTCGGTGATGTCTAACTGCCCAGTGAATTCCATCTTGTACCCAGCCAGTTTGGCCATTGCAGGTGGATGCAGAAGAGCCCAAAGACCGACTGGATACCTTGGTGCTCCTGTTGACTTACCCGTTTCTGCTCCTGATTTCTGGGTGATTTAGAGGAGTCCTGCCAGGTGATCCTGGCTGCTTTGCAGGCTGGCAGCTTGTCCAGCTGTTCCTGCAGAATCTGGGGGTAGTAGGTGGCACTTCCTGGAAGTCCAAGAAGACTCCCCCTTATCTCAGCATCATCAGTGATTCCAGTGAGCCCAGGTGAGGATCTTGGGATCCATAAACGTTTTGTCACAGTCAATGTATCTGGTTTCTCTGAAGTGTGTTCTAACAGGGCTGGTTTCCTATTGCACCAGGCAGCACAGACCCATGAAACTATACGCTGATTATAGGCTTGCTGAGGTATCTCCCACCCCCTCACCAGCCTTCAGATAGATGGGAATGAATCCGAAGAAGGAGCCTGGAAGTCTGAGACTCTTTGCCACTGACTGAAGGTATCCGCATTATGCAGGCTCTGCTGAAAGTTGGGAAGCCCGAATTTAAATAGAAAAAATAAAAAGAGGTATATTATATCAAGCAGTGCTGCCCAGAACACTATTTCCTTCCTGATGAAACTACCACTGACATTTTACTTCAAGGGTTCTCTGAATCCCCAGCAGGCATGTCTGGGGGATGGGGCCAGACATCTTGGGGTATGCATGTTATCTGGACATATCCCATACCAAAGTTCTGGTTCCTCACATGTTGAGCCCCTTGGGACTTAAAATAATTGGGAGATTCTGTTGGCTGTCTCCTCAGCGCAGTTCTACCCTGCTGCCCAGGGTCTACATCAAGATCAGAACCCCTTGACCTGGGATTCTGAGGTTCTTGGCCTGGGATGATCTTATCTGCTGGGACCCTCAAGCAGGACCCTCATAGTTGCTTATTTGCATATTCAGAAACATGAAATACAGCACTGGGTAAGGACAGAAAGGGTGTGCACACCTGGTTCATCTGTAGAGAGGGTGGATGAGGTTTATTTGCACAGCAGGTAGGAGACACAGAGCAGTGAAGACACAGGAAAGACTATGACCAATGTTGTGTTCTGCGAAAACCACAGTTTTTGCTGCTGTTAGTTTCAACAGCACCTATCAGTCGCTTGACAGTTTCAGCCAGCAAATAAATGAGTTTTTTTGAATGGAAAGGCACAGCCATGGGCATGTAGAGGCAGAAGGATCTCAGAGCTCAACTAGAACAGTTTCCCATCTTCTTCTTCCTCCATACATCCTCCAATTTTACTGTTAAGGAGAATGAGGTAGACAGGCGCCACCGAGAAAACCAGCTGTATTTCACAGAGACAAACGTTGACACTGAGCATGCCTGTATTGAGAAAACTCATTTCAGGAGCTTCCCACCTGGGGATGGAGTATACAGTAGAACATTAAAACTAAAACTACACAGTAAGACAAACCAAAAGCAAAGGAAGCAGTTGGCCAATTATGCATCTCTCTGTATTAGGCCAAGGGGTTTTCAGGAGTCAGGAGCTTCCTAGAGTGAGATGTCAGAGCATCCTCAGTAAATTTTAATTCAGACTAATTGATGGATGGTTGACTTGATTTTATTGCATGTGGGTGCATTTCCAATCTTATTAATTGTGGAATCCTGGGTAACAAAGTCTAGAAAGAAAACAGCATGCCAAACCATCAAGCATCAGTGAATGAGAGCAACAAGAGCTCTTGAAGCATACCAAATGATCTGACTGTTACCAAAACCTAGGAGGAAACTTGGAGGGAATTCTGATTCTTAATGTCTTTTTAACATGGAGAAACAGCATCTGGAAAGCCACATTGAAGATAATATTATATGGTATGAGGTATGCATTGGGATTTGTCTTTTTATGATAGCTCCCCTTTCATTCTGATTCATTTGACTCAGGCATTTTCTCTTTATTTTTCCTCATGATTCTAGCCAAGTGTTCATCTATCTTGTTTATTCTTTCGAAAAACCAGCTCCTGTTTCATTGACTTTTTTGTATTGTTTTCCTGGTTGCTCTACCATTTGTTTCTGCTCTGGTTTTTAATTTCTTCCTTCTATTAATTCTGGAATTCATGTGTTCACCCTTTTTTAGATGCTTAAAATGTGTACTTCAGATTTTTATTTGAGCTTTTTAGTTCTTTCTGATCGGGTGCGTTCAGGGTGGTATGGCTGTAGACCCGTGATGTATTCAATATGCCAAACACAGTAACAACAAAGTCTCCAATGGAGACGTTACTGGGCCCGCTCGAGCAAATTGATGAACAACGGGAAGACAGTGACAGTGACAGTTCTTTCTGAATAAAGGCCTATATTGCTATGAATTTCCATCTTAGTACTGCTTTTGCTGTGCTATATGGGTTTTGTTAATTAATTAATTAATTTTGTTTTGTGGCCATACCTGGTGGTGCACAGGGCTTACTTCTGGTTCTGCACTCTGGGATCACTCCTGAATATCCTTGGTAGACCATAGGGAGTGCCTTGGATCAAACCCATGTTGGTTGTATGCAAGACAAGCTCCCTACATGCTGTAATGTTGCCTCAGACCCTAATTAAATTCTTTAGGTTGAGTGCTGTTTTTCCTGATACAAGTATAGCAGTCCCAGATATTTCTTGTCTACCATTGGTTTGTATGATTGTTTTCCATCCTTTCACTTGGAGACTGTATTTATCCTGTGAATTCAGGTGTGTTTTCTGTAAGCAGCAAATACTTGGGAGAAATCACACAGACTCTTGAGAAATTCAAAATGTCATCACAGGTTACTATGAACAACTTTACACTGTAAACTGGAGAACCTAGAACACAGAGATTTTTAGAATCATTAAAGATTCTAAAACTAAATGAGAAGAAGATAGAAAATTGGAACAGGCCAATCAAAACGAGGAAATTAAAATTGTAATTAAAAATCTCCCAAGAACAAAAGCCCTGGTCAAGATGGGTCACAGGTGAGTTCTGCTCCACCTTCAAAGAAATTTTACTACTTTTACTCCTCAAACTCTTGTGAAATATTGAATAGGAATCCTTCCTAACAGTGTCTACAAAGCTAGCATCACACTAATTCTCAAAGCAGATAGAAATGTATTAAAAAATTCAGATCAATTTCCTGGATCAACACTGATTCAGCAACAATATCTTAGTGCACCAATGCTAGCAAAA